TGAATGTGCTTGAGAGAGTGTGTGTGATATGAGAAAGTGTGAAAGAGAGAGAGAGGGAGGGAGGTAGGTGGTGGTGGTGGTGGGGGGGCGGTAGGTGACAGGACTCCTGGATTGGGAAAGGTAGTTTGGTGATTGGGACAGATTGTTTGTGAAAAGAAAAGAACACAAGTATTAGAGTAATAGAGATTTATTATTTGAGGTGATTTGGTGTTATTTCATTTCTTCGAGCCTCATTTTTCCCATCTGTAAAGCAGGGATAATGATAATCCCCATTTTATAGGATTTTAAAGATATACACCATCTCTAGCCACCCCACACCCATGGTATAGGTGCGCAACTTTGGCAACTACAAGTGCTTTGCATTTTTTTGTTTGTTTAAAACAGCTGTTCTCAACCTGTGGGTTGCAACCCCTTTGGGGGGTCGAACGAACCTTTCATAGGGGTTGCCTAAGACCATGGAAAAACATATTTCCAGTGGTCTTAGGAACTAGACACCGCTCTTCTGCCCCTCTCCAGGCAGGTCTACCCACATGCAGGTAAATACTGATCTGGTGAGAAAGAAGCTATCTCAACCTTCACACTGATGATAGCTTTTTACGAATACCGTCGCAAAATGTAACAATAGTGTTTACTGTTGTTATATTAAGACTGTTACCCATGCTACACCATGCTTCGAGACAAAATTTCATTTATTTGTCATTAGAAATAAGTATTTCACAATATATAATTACCTATTGTTTTTGTGATTCATCACTATGGTTTAATTATGTTCAATTTGTAGCAATGAAAATAACATCCTGGACATCAGATATTTACATTACCATTCATGACAATAGCAAAATTGCAGTTATGAAGTAGCAACAAAAATTATTTTATGGTTGGGGGTCACCACAACATGAAGAACTGTGTTCAAAGGTCACGGCATTAGGAAGGTTGAGAACCACTATTTTAGAACTATCCATCCAGTGTTCAGATGGATAAGGAATCTAGGGTGGTTTGTCTCTGTCTTGTAAATAATCACATTTATATATTTGAAAAGCTTTGCAGAGGGAAACGCAGTATTTACAGACCAGAGGAAGAGACAAGTAGACAAGGAGCCCGGGTGGCACGGTGGGTTGCCCCACCAGCTGCCCCTTGGGAGAAGGATGTGGCGGCCTGCTTCCCAGAAGATTTCCAGCCTTGGGAACCTGGTGGCGAAGTCCTACTCTGCCTTCTGGGGTCACCTTGAGTACGAATAGGCTAGACAGCCTAGGTTTTGCTTTGCTTTTTGTTAGTTCTTTGAGAGATTTTTCAGAGTTAAATTACGTGTGTTGTTTTAACCAATCCTATTGAATCGCCTGTCTTCTCGGTACCAGGTTAAAAGCAATTGTTCTCAAGTGGAGAGAAACTGAATTGGCTGGCATCCTTGACTGTGGGCGAAAGCCAGTAAAAGATACCAGTGGAGTCTAAGCAGGGCTTAGGCCTGAATGGGCCCAGGTGGCAGTGCTACAGGCTCAAAGTCCTTGTCTGGGTCTTGACCACGTGGGTTCCTTCTGTGCCTCTGCCCCATCTTCCATGAGGCATACTGGTGGTCCTCGGCTGCGGTCATGCTTGTAGACAGAGCCTCATGGGGTGCTTCTCGGCCCATACTAGTGTTTCTGACACCATTCCAGAGTAACAAGGGTTTGGTCTCACCCCACTGTGGTGGGCCCTTATTAACATACCCTCCATTAGCAAACAAGCTCATATTCAGGTACGGGGGGTGTAGGCCTTCTATATTTATTTGGGAGGGTGGTCATAATCCTTCCCTTATATGTTCTGTACATTTGATTACTTAATCTCCAGAAGCATTCTATGAGGGGTTATTATTAATCCACTGCCATTGAGTCTGCTCAGCTCATGTTGTTGTGAGGTGTTGGCAATTGATTCAGACTCAGAGAGACCCTACGTATGACAAAACGAAACACACCCGCTCCCACGCCATCCTCACAATGGTGCGTATGTGTGGGCCCATTGTTGCAGCCCTGGTGTCAAGCCATCTCATCCAGAGCCTTCCACTTTTTTGCTGCCCCTCCACTTTACCAAGCATGGTATTCACAGACAAGTCTTTCCTGATAACATGTCCAAAGAACGTGGGATAAAGTGACCATCCTCACTTCCAGGAAGCATTCTGGCTATATTTCAGGTCGTGGTGACTCTGTATAGAGTTTCCATGGCTGTTAAATCTTTACAGGAGCAGACAGCCCTCATCGTTATCCCTAGGATCAGCTGGTGGATTTGAACCACCTACCTAGCAGTTGTTAGGTGCCATCAAGTAGGTTCTGACTCGCAATCCCGTGTACAACTGAGCAAGCACTGCCCGGTCCTGCTCAATCCTCACAATTGTTTTTATGGTTGAACCCATTATTGCAGCCACTGTGTCAGTCTATCTTGTCGAAGTTCTTCCTCTTTGTTGCTGCCCTTCTACTTTACCAAGCTTCGTGTCCTAGGGGCTGGTCTCACCATCTTTGCGGCTCAGAAGCATTCTGATGCTACTTCTTCCAAGACCAGGGTTTGGTTTTGAGGGGCAGTTTTTGGTAGTTTTCAGTATTCCCTATCAGCACCATAATTCAGATGCATTGATTTTTCTTAGGTCTTACTCAGTGCCCAACTTTCATATGCATGTGAGGTGATTGAAAGTACTGTGGGCTGGGTCAGGCGCACCTTGGTCCTCAAAGTAACCTCCTTGGTTTTCAACACTCGACTGAGGTCTTGTGCAGCAGATTTATTGACTGCATGGCACTGTTTGATCTCTTTTTTACATAGCTGCTTCCTGAGCATTGACTGGATCCAAGCAAGCGGATAGCTGTGACGGCTTCAGTCTTTTCCATGCTTATCCTGATGACACCTTTATTTTGGGTCGCAATCCAAACGGAAAGCTGTAGTCCTTGATCTTTCTCAGCAAGCACTTTAAGTCCTCACTTTCAGCAAGCAAGCCAGTGTCATCTTGGTGTTGAAGGTGTTACTAAGCCGTCATTCCTGATGCCGTATCCTTCACACCCAGCTTCTCAGCAGTCCAGTATTTACCCGACAGTGTCCTTTTGATCTGAGTTATTATTAGCCTGATTTAAAAACAAACATTCTACTGCAAACGCGCTAGTTGTAACTCATAGAAACTCCACTTCGGGCATTCCCGGTGAAATCTTTATGGGTACATACAGCCTTGTCTTTCTTCCAAGAAGCAGCTGGTGGATTTGAACTGGTGAACTTATGGTTAGCAGTCCATTGCTTACCCACAGCCAGTGCCACCAGGCCTCCTGATCCCTTGTTACAGCAGAAGAAATGGAAGTACAGAGACATTGCGTGACGTGCCCCCCCCACCCCCCAAATTGACTCCCACTCCGGAGGCGGTGCTTACACACAGTGGACTGACTGTGTGAGTAATGGGGAATGCTTTTGTGTAGCTCCGTTGAGTTTCAGTCTGTTGCAGGAAGTTAACAGTCCCTTTAAATCACCCCACTGCTGAGGAGCCCATTGATTTAGAGTGCTCCTGGAAGCCAGAATGGAACCGCCCTTTTGGGTTTCCGAGGCTGTAAAACTTGCAACCTCCTTTTCCTCCCGCGGAATGTTGTTGGGTTTCTACTGTTGACCCCGTTGTTGTCAGCCCAGCGCATAACCCACCACCGTGTGGAGGCTCCTGCTGGTCAACTTGGCCTGTTCTTCGATGGACAAGATTTCCTACTCTGTTTCAAATGTCCGTGAAGCTCCCTGCCTCGAGAACATTATTGTTATTTTTTGCCATCTTTTGGATTGTTTGACAACGTAGAGCCTTACACAGTGACAGGACCTCAGAGATTAGCCTCAGATGGGTCTTGCCCTACTCTCCTGTGTCTGATTTTTCATGAAGAACGGGGTTTGGACATGTGGATCCTGCCTGCTTTTTGGGGGCGGCACAGGAGCCATCCCCTTGGCCATCAATCAGCCCCACAAACCCCACTCCTCATCCACTTCTCTGTTAGGGCCCATCTACACTGCTGCCTACTGAAGCCAAGACCACACCAAACCCACACCCATTGCAGCAAGCCCATGATGCCCATTGGACCAGTTCCCTGGGGTTTCCAGCACACTGAATCTGTGTGGGAGTAGACAGCCTCATCGTTCTCCCACAGAGCCTCTGCTGGCTTTGAGCCGCTAGCCTTGTGGTTAGCAGTGCAGTTGAACCCAGAGCAACACCAGGGCTCCTTTACAGTGGGAGCCACTTCAGTTAGTCCCACGAGGTGTAACGTAATGGAAGCGTTTTGCTTTAGAAGTTTTATGTGTCATCCCTCCTGGTGCTGTCTCCAGACTATGGAGTTTTGCTGAGACCAGGCAAAAGTCTGACACCATAAACACTGCTCCAATTCAGAAACCCCAGCTCGGGCTTTATGAGGCAAGTCTGGGAAGTCGTAAGAAGCCTTAGTGGCGCAGTGGGTTACGAGCTGGGCTGATAATTGGAAGGTCAGTAGTTCGAGCCCTCCTGCTGCTCTGTGGGAGAAAGATAAGGCTTTCTACTCCTGTCAGAATTAGTCTCAAAAACAAACAAAGAATTTGTCTCAGAAACCTACAGTGGCAGTTCTACCCTGTCCTATAATCTCTGTGAGTTGAAATCAGCTCAATGGCAGGTGAGTTTGAGTATGTGATGGGACCTAGTGCTTGTCTCCCACCTCACATCATTTATAGATCAATTGCATTTAGCCTAACTGGTTCTTTCCTTTCTAAGTGAATTTTTAAATGGCCTTGATTCGTGGCCCAGACCTGCCTCCAGCATGCCTCCGGGCTGCCTCTGACCTAACCGGGTGCTCCCGGAGAAGCACAAGGTGGACGTGCAGGGGGAGCCCCGCCCCACCTCCTCCCCGATGCCTGGCGCACACCGTGGTCAGCATCCTCAGCTAGGTCTCTGTGCCTGACCATGTGGTCTGGTCCTTCTTCAACAGTGTTCCTGAACATCTTTTGCCTGGGTTTCGTGGGGTTTGCCTATTCGGTGAAGTCTAGGGAACCCGAAAATGGTGGGTGACGTGATTGGGGCCCAGAGCTACGCGTCCGCTGCCAAGTGCCAGAGCACCTGTGCCCTGGTGTTCAGTCTTCTCATCTCTCTGGGGCTGATCATGGCCATGGTCATACCAGTCAGCATGTCAGGGTTACCATACCCTCCTCTGGGCTACTGACTGAGACCCTTCCCTGTGGCCAGGCCTTCTGTTCCTGGTCCCCAGCCAGCCCTGCGTCTGGCCTGTTCTCAGTTATTTGCCCACATGTACCTGACAATAAATCATCTCCGTAAAGTGTCCCCCCCCAAAAAAAGTGTTGGTAAAATAGTCTTTTTAATAGGTGTCATGTAGAGTGTTTGACTCTTGTTTGTTGGTCAGAATCTAATCTTGAACTTTAATTTGAATCAGGTTTCTTGATCCTGTGTATACTTTAAATATGTGTTTTATTTGCCACTGAGGATAGAAGGCAAAAATGACATTAGAGATCATTTTTCCTGTTGAAAAAAATGACAGCGATGCTATTAGGTGTTGTTTTTTTTTTAATTTTGTGCTGGGTTTGTGCCGTCCAGGAGCCACTGGCATCCCCACCTCACCTGGCGTATGCCCACACTCACCATTTCACCCCTCCAGCTCAGAACAGCCTAGGATCAGCGTGTTAGTGCAGCTGGGCTCCCGGGCATCTCATGGCAATAGGCAATAGGCTCCTGGGCATCTCGTGGCAATAGGCAGGTCCCAGACTTCTTCTTGAGGTGCCCTCCAACAGGCCTCAAAATCCCCACTTTCTGATGAGCAGCCATGTGTACCATCCACGGGCTCGAGGGGTGGGGGAACGTTTCCTTAAATTTACCCCACCACTGTTTTCTGAACAGCTCAGACTCACCTTGGTGTGTACTAAAAGTTTTAACCTTCCATAGGAGAATATATATTTAAATTTCTTTTACATGTTAAAAGCACTGTTGTAACAATTTGGACCAAAGGGAAAAGATTGTCGCACTATCCCTATACAACTATACAGCTGTTATGTTGTCACGCTGTCCTTACGCAATTATCTTGTTGTTCGGTGCCATGGACTCATAGTGACCTTATGCATAACAGTGAAACCTGCACAGGTCTGGGCTGGTCTCAAAATCACTCCTTTTTCTGAGCCCATTTTTTGGAATTCACTCTGTCAGTTCATCTCATTGAAGGCCTTTTTCTTTTTCTCTGCCTCTCTACTAAGCATGATGTTCTCCAGGGACTGGTCTCTCCTGACAATAAGTTCAAAATATGTAAGACGAATTCTTGCCATCCTTGTCTCTAAAGAACACTCTGGCTGTACTTTTTCCAAAACAGGTTTGCTTATCCTTTAGCAGTCCATGGTACTTTTAATATTCTGCTCCAGTACCATAATTCAGGTTTATTGATTCTTCTTTGGTCTTTATCCAAATTTCACATGCATGCAAGGCAAAGGAAAATACCATGGTTTGGATCAGGTACACCTTAGTCTTTACGGTAACATCCTTGCTTTTCTCTACTCGAAAGAGGTCTTGTGTAGCAGATTAATGGAATGCAGCTCGCCTTCTTGCCTTTCGATTGCTGCTTCCATGAGCATTGATTGTGGGAAAAAGCCAGACAAAGTCCTTGACAGCTTCAAACTTTTATCCATTTATCGTCATGCTGCCTATTGGTCCAGTGAGTTGCAATCCATATTGAAGACTGTAATCATTCATCTTCATCAGCAAGTGCTTCAAGATCTTTCAGCAAGCAAGGTTATGTCATCTGCACATTTCAGGTTCATAGGCCTTTCTCCAATCCTGATGGCACATTCTTCTTCATATAAGCTAGCTTCTCAGATTATTTGCTCAGCATACAGATTGAATAAGTATGGTGAGAGGATAATACAACCCTGAGGCACACCTTTCCTGATTTTATACCATGCAGCATTCCCTTGTTCTGTTTGCACAACTACCTCTGGATCCAGGTCCAAGTTCCTCATGGACACTGTGTTTTGGAATTCCCATTCTTCTGAAGGTTATCCACAGTTCATTATGGTCCACACAGTTGAATGCCTTGACATAGTCAATGAAACATGAGTAAATCTCTGCTTTGATTCAAGATCCATCTGACATCAGCAATGGTGTCCCATGCACCATGTCCTCTCCTGAATCCGGCCTGAACTCTTGGCAGTTCCCTGTCAGTATACTGCTGCAACCATTGTTGGATGACTGACAGCAAAACTGTTTTAGATGTCTCTCTTTCTTCGTGGTGTGTTTGTCCATTTAGAGAGAGAGCGAGAGTGTGTGGTTGCAGTTGTCACGTACTCTCACGTTAATTTCAACCCCATGTGATAGAGTAGGCCTGTCCCACAGGGCTTTCCTGCCCTGTCTTGCTAGGAGGCAAGAGTGGTGCCATGGCTGTGAATTTGGTTTGGTTTCGGACTCTTCTGGGGAAGGAGATTGATTGCCAGATCTTTTCTCTGGTGGAGAATCAGAGTGGGGGTGGGGTTCTGTTAGTGGGCCCGGCACCTCCCCGCTTCACACTCCACCTCCCCGTGTGCTCCTTTAGTATTCAGCCAACGGACTGGAGAGTTGACTTTTGGGGTGGCTGGGTCTCAACCCCAGTGCAGTTTGCTGTTCACCCATTTCTGTCTCAAACATCACGTGTTTTCTAATGCAAGGGAACAAGCTTCTTAGCTCGGGCAGTTCGCACTGAAGCCCTGTGGTTGAGGCTTTCTACTCCAGTTAAAGAGTGACAGTCTTGGGCACAAGGGCAGTTCTCTCCTGTCCTGCGCTGTACGGTGTTCTGAGTCAGAGCCCACTCATGGCAGTGAGTTTGAGCGCTTCCCTTAGCCACCTGCAAGGCGGAGCCAGAGGTATTTTGCTGTCCCAAGAAAGCTGTAGGAATGCAATGAGCTATTCCTTCATGTGCTTTCCTGCCTTTCATTTACTCTGCCTTTTAAACTTCTCCCGCAGCTTTCCAAAACCAACTTCTCCAACAACAACGACTTCCGAGCTCTCCTGCAGTCCCTGTCGGCGACTTTCAAGGAGTTCAAGATGCACGAGCAGATTGAGAACGAGTACATCATCGGGCTGCTGCAGCAGCGCAGCCAGACCGTGTACAACGTGCACTCCGACAACAAGCTCTCGGAGATGCTGAGCCTCTTCGAGAAGGGTCTGAAGAACGTTAAGGTGGGTTGGGAGAAATGCTGAGGGAACATCCCAGTCTCTGCCCTCTTCAATACGTCCCTGGCTAAAACTGTCAACCCTGCATAGTACCCGATGTCACCTTTCCATTCCTGTGTGACTGATCTGCGTCATGAAAGCCCCTCCCTGAATTGTGGAGTCGCTTTTAATGAGTTGCCGTTTTAATGATCACAAATCAGTAAGTAATCTTGGAAACACGTGCGTAAAGGAAAATTATCTGTAGATGTAGTGATTTAGTGACTGAGTCAAATTGTTGCCCAGAATGATTGGATGTCTTCATTTGTTTAGGATGGAATGCCCGCTCTAATGTTTATTTTGTTCTTCTCTATTGTAGGGAGTAAACAGGGGTAGTTCAGCAGGATTGTTTAAAGTTGTGTTGTATAAAATGTAAGGCTTCTTTCTCTCTTTAAGTGTAGTTTGGGATGATGAGAAAAAGTTGAGTTACTCATTGTGCTGCTAACTACAAGGTCAGCAGTTCAAACACCGTTGGCTTCTCAGGAGGAAGATAAGACTTGCTGCTGCTGTAAGTATTTACAGCCTTCGACACCCACAGGGGATGGTTCTACTCTGTCCTGCAGGGTTTCTGTGAGTTGGAAAGAACTCAAGAGCAGTGAGTTTTTAATTGGTTACAGATTAAAACCAAGAAACACCATCGCTATCAAGCTGGTTCTGACTCACTGACCCCTAGGGCAGAGTGAAAGTGTCCCACACGCTGTAATCTGCATGGAGTCAAACTGCCTCCTTTCCCCTGTGGCACCACTGGGGTTTGAACTGTCAGCCTTTCACTTAGCAATTTAGCACCTGGTTGTAGCACCACCATGCTCCTTGGAGGATTCACTTGACATTCTTTTTTTGGGTGGGGGTGGGTGGGAATGCAACAACTTTATTCAAAGGAAAGTGCAGTGTAACTTGTTGAAAGCTTAAAAGGAGGCACAACCGGCCATCTAGCCCAGAAGCAACAAAGCCCACATGGAAGCAGCACACCAACATGTGTGATCATGAAGGGCCGAAGGGACCAGGCTTCAAGCACCAAAGGCAGGGGGTGGGGGTGGGGGATCATATCGTGAATGAGGGTAGCGTGTGATGGGGACCCAATGCCCATCTGTGGACAACTGGACATAGCTTGCAGAGGGGTAGTGGGGAGGAGTCTCTCAGGGTCCAGTGTAGCAATAATGAAACTCACAACCTTCCTCTAGTTCTTAAACGCTTTCTCCCCCCAACTACCATGATCCCAATTCTACCTTGCAAACCTGGTTAGACCAGAGGATGCACAGCGGTACAGATGGGAACTGGAAACACAGGGAATCTAGGACAAATGAATCCCTCAGGACCAGCGGTGACAGTGGCGATACTGGGAGGGAAGGGCGGGTAGAAAGGAGGAATCGATCACAAGGATCTACATATAACCTCCTCTCTGGGGGATGGGCAGCAGAAGGGTGGGTGAAGGGAGACTCAGGGCAGTGTAAGATAAGATATAATAATCATTTATAAATTATTAAGGGTCCACAAGGGAGGGGGGAGCGGGGAAGTAGGGGGAGGGGAAAAGAAAATGAGCTAATTCCAGGAACCCAAGTGGAAAGCAAATTTTGAGAATGATGAGGGCAACAAATGTATAAGTGTGCTTTACACAATTGATGTATGTATGGATTGTGAAGAATTGTCTGAGCCCCAGTAAAATGATTTAAAGAAAAGGAGGCACAACTTAGACACGTCCTCTCAAGCGCAGGACCAGGTGCAGAGTCGATTCTCTGGATGTTGTAGTCAGACAGGGTGCGGCCATCTTCCAGCTGCTTCCCCGCAAAGATCAGCCTCTGCTGGTCAGGAGCGATGCCTGCCTTGTCTTGGATCGTTGCCTTGACACTCTCAATGGTGTCACTGGGCTCGACCTCCAGGGTGACGGTCTTGCCAGTTAAAGTTTTCACAGAGATCTGCATTGTCAGCGCAGCGAGCACAAGGCAGCAGTCCACGAGCTCCGGTTGCAGGAATTCTGTAATGATGTCTCCCAGCTGAGATGGATAGGTGTTAGAAAGACATATGTAAGAGTGACATAAGATTAGCTCTCAATAGACATTTACAACACATCCATGCTAGTTTTAGACTTTTGTGAAAACTTAAGAAATCTTAGCGCCTCTTATTAAAGAATTTCAATGTTTCCAATTTTAAGAGTGAGCCCTGGTGGCGTAGTGGCTGCTCGTTGGGCTGCTAAGGGCAGTAGGTCAAACTGCCAGCAGCTCCCCAGGAGAAAGGAGAGGCTTGCTACTCCTGTAAGAGTTTCTGTCTTGGAAACAAATGGGCAGTGCTACCCTGTCCCGGAGGGTCCCTGCGAGGCAGAGTGGACTCGAGAGCAGTGGGTGTGTTTGTTCTTTATTCCTGGGCATACATGGAGCCCACTGGCCTGTTTGCCAACCTGTTTTATTCCTGAGATTCTTAAGCAGCGTTTTAAGCTGACTTCTTGAGAAATAGGTACAGTCTAGATAATGGGGCCTAACTTTTGTTTTGTGTGTGTTTTGTTTCCAGAATGAATACGAGCAGTTAAATTACGCAAAGCAGCTGAAAGAGAGATTGGAGGCCTTTACCCGAGATTTTCTTCCTCACATGAAGGAGGAAGAGGAGGTGAGCGGCATGCCTCTCTCCCTGGTGCTGTTGAACAGCGAGGCGGGCGCCGGCCTGGCCTTCATTGTCGCTGCCAGCAGCCGGAATGCAGCCCCTTCCGACTGGCAGCAGCCAGATGTCTCAGAGGATGGCCAGTCCCCAGGGCCTGTACCCACTTGCAGAGCAGTGGCATTTTGCTTTAGCTACATCTGCCTGGATGATGGAGATAAGTTCCTTGTTCATTTTGGGAAGAGAAAAACTACATTTTATTCTCACAGCATTTTTCATTGAATGAATGATTTAATTTATTTGCTCAACAAATACTGTATATACTCGTATATCAGCTGAGTTTTTCAGCACATTTTTTACGCAGTTTTTGTGGTAAAATTAGGTGCCTCGGCTGATACTCTAGTCAGCTTATATTTACGGTACTTGTGTTCGTATTATGTAGCTGGCACCATGTCGAATGCTCATAACTTTTTATGTCCCCCTTAGGTCTTTTCAAGGAGCCCTGGTGGCGTACTTGGTTATACATTGGCCTGCTAACCATAAGGTCGGCAGTTTGAATCCACCAGCTGCTCCACAAAAGAGAGAGAAGGCTTTCTGTTTTGTGAAGACGGACAGCAGTGGAAGTCCACAGGGGCAGTTCTACTCCATCCTGCAGGGTCGCTATGAGTCGAAATTGATTCAGTGGTAGTAAGAGTGCCTTCACAGGAGCTCTGGTGGCACTGTTGGGCAGCATTGAATTGTTCACCACTTGGTTGGCAGTTCAAACCCAGCAGCTACTGTGAAGGAGAAATATGAGGCTGCCCTCTCTTGTAAAGATTTACAGCCTCTGAACCCTTATATAAGGTTCTGTGAATCGGAATGACTCACAGTGATTCACTGTGAATGGGAGTTGACTTGGTGGCAGGGGGCTTGGGAATGTCTTCAGAATTTTTAGAAGACACTGCTTCTTAATATTTTCAAGGTAAATGTACAGAATTTCTCGTATTTTCTGTAGTAGTAGTTATCAGGGCGCGCTGGTGGTTCAAAAGGCCGGCAGTTCAAACCCACCAGCTGCCCCTCGGGAGAAAGAGGCCATTGCCTGTTTCCATAGATTGCAGTCCTTGCCATCAAGCAGATGTTGACTCAATGACTTTTGGGACAAGATAGAACTCCCCTGCAGATTTCTAAGACTAACTCTCTCTCTTTTTTTCTTACATGTTTTAATAAAACTATAAATTTTCAATACTAAACAGGTCTAGAAAAGGCAGATACAAAAACTGAATTTAGTGTTAGCCCTGCAATCTTCCAGATACGTTTATAAAATGCAGGCTGTATTTCATTTTTTTTAAAAACATAATTTTATTGGGGGCTTGTACAACTCATCACAATCCATACAGCCATCCATTGTGTGTCAAACACATTTGTACATTTGTTGCTCTTATCATTTTCAAAACATTTGCTTTCAACTTGAGCCCTTGGTATCAGCTCCTCATTTTCTCCCCTCCCTCCCCGCTCACCCCTCTCATGAACCCTTGATAATTTATAAATTATTACTGTTTTGAATGCTGTAACTCTTTAGAGAAGTGGAAAGCTCCATCTTTCTCCTGAGGAGTGACTGGTGGTTTTGAACTGCTGACCTGGAAGTTAGCAGCCCAATGCTTAAGTACTCTGCTGTCAGGGCTCCTCTGTACAGATTCCAGCCTGGAAACTGGTGGTGCAGTTCCACCCCATCCTGCAGGATCATGGTCAGTCGCCAGTGACTGGGGTTTTTCGTTTGGGTTTAAAGTTGACAGCCTGTTTGTTCCCTGACATTCATGTGTTAGGAATCACTGAATTCACAAGCAAGACCCTCCCAGATTCTGCTTTCTCCTCAGTGGGGCAAATAGCAGAGTAAGGGAGTGGGGGTGTTCTCTGGGAAACCAGTTACTTTTGTCCAGCCCTAAGTCAGTTCCTAGTGTTTAAAAAAAATCAGCCTAGTATTTTTTTAAAAAAACCTAAAACTAAAAAAGCAGCAGCCTGCTTCTGAGCCTTCTCTAGACCAGTTAAGGCACAAATAAATCAGGTGGGAGACATTTGCCTGGGTATTTTTTCAAGGCTCTCCGAGTCATAATATGCAGCCAGGGCTGGGGAACACTCCTCCCCCTGCTCCCCTCAGTTACTAGAGCAGTGTTTTCCTAACCTGTGATGAACGAGAACGTTAAAAGATTAAAAATAAGTTCCTTGGCACTCCCTGTTAAGAGTCTGATCCTGTAAATTGGCATTTATTTCACAGAAAAGCATCTCCAAAGAGGGATCTTAGCACTGCCGTAGAATAATGGTTTGTGGCAACATCTCCCAAATCCAGAAACAACATCGGATAGTTCAGGGTCTGGGTAGAATCCTGACTAGCTCTGGTGATGGTTAGGCACTGGGCTGTCAACCACATGGTCAGTGGTTCAAACCCATCAACCACTCAGAGGGAAAAAGATGAAACTTTCTCCTCCTATAGATTTATAGCCTTACAAACCCCATGTAACCTCAAACTAAAAACCTACTCCTATTGAGTCAATTCTGACTCATAGCAACCCTGTAGGACAGAGTAGAACTGCCCCTCTGGGTTTCCAAGGCTGTAAATCTGTATGGTCAAAGATAGCCTCCTCTTTTTCCTGTGGAGCTTCAGGTGGGTTCCAACTAATGACCTTGTGATTATGAACTCAATGTAGCGCGCTATGCCACTAGTTAGCCCTATATGTTAGGGTGGCTAACAGTTGGAATTGACTTGGTGGTAATGGATTTTGGTTTGTTTTGTTTGCTTGCTTCCATTCTTAATTAACATAGAGATCCTGTTTGGGTAGAGTTAATTACTGTAATACCTTAAGACTTTTAATGGCTCTAAATGTTCAGCAATCAGAAAATGGCTCAGAGTGCCTGATAGATGATGTGCAGGAAAACTCATCCATTCCTGCTGCTTCTGCTCTGTGTACTGCTTGACTTCATACCTGGAGAAGCCTTGGAAAGGTATAATTTTGATGGTAGTCTTCACTACAGTTTTTCTTTTTCTTTTTGGCTGTAATCAATGGCAGTTTATTCTCTCACAATTTAGGAGGCCAGAAGTCCAAGTTGGGGGTACCAGCCAAGGGGAAGGCTTTCTTTCTCAGTCAACCTTGGGAGAAGATTCTTGTCATTAGTCTTTCCCTGGGTCTAGTAGTTTCTCAGCACTGGGACCCTGGCACCAAGAACGTGCTGAGATTCTGGCTCTTTTTTCTTGGTGGTAGCAGGTCCATCCACTCGTGGCCCAAAATTTTTAAGAGCAATTAACTCAGGGGCAATAACGGTCATTTTCACTCCTTTGGAATACTCATTTCTTTGGTGATGATTGGGCGTTTGAGTAAGAGACCTTGTGAAGCAAGTACAGACACCTCATGAAGGCTCTTGTGGATGTCGTGTGTCATGTAGGTCTTCCAGCCCATGTTAATGGAATATTTTACGTACGAGGAGCTGAAGGACATCAAGAAGAAGGTGATCGCCCAGCACTGCTCTCACAAGGACACGGCCGAGCTCCTGAGAGGCCTCAGTCTGTGGAACCATGCCGAAGAGCGCCAGAAGGTTTTCAAGTATTCCGTGGAGGAGAAGGCGGACAAAGGTGAGACTCACAGGGTCCAGTCACGAGCCGTGTGTTTCTCCAGGGCCTGCCTTTCTGCTCTTGGAAAGACCTGCAGTGGCAGCTCTTCTCCGTCCTGTCCTGCAGGGTTCCTGTCCTCAGAGTGCCCCTGAGGGCGGCAGGCTTGGCATGGCTTGGCATGGCTAGGTTGCATTTTGGTGATTGATGGTACCTGAAAGTTTTGTATGGACAGATAATTTACATCAGCCTGGTACTATGACCAGTGAAAGCCATTTCTTCTCAAGAATACATTTGATCGAGGCAGTGGCTTCTGTTTTAGAGTGTAGTAGGATTTAGGGCCCCTGGTGGTAGAGTGGGCAATGCTTTGAACTAGTAGCCACAGGTCGGGAGTTCAAATCTACCACACTCTGCCTTGGAGCTGGATGAGGCTGTCTGCTCTCATAAAGATTTCCAGCCTCCATCAGTAGCAGTTCTGCTCTGTCCTATTTGGGTTGCCATGAGTTGGAATCGATTCCATGGTAGAGTGTGGGTTGATGATCTTAAAAGAGACTTGGTGGGGCTGTGGTTAAAGTGCTCGGTTACTAAACAAAAAGTAGGCAGTTGCATGCCTCTGCAGTAGAGAAGTGTGTAGAAGACTTTCCATTGTGCCTTTCAGGGTTGCTGACAGTCGGAATTGAGATGGTGCTCTGGTTGGGGATCCATCTCTCGTGTGGGCCAAGGAGCCCTGGTGGCAGGGTAGTTCTGTGCTTCACTGCTAATCAGCCGTTGAGAGCCACCAGCCTCTGTGGGGGAAACACCTCAGCTATCTGATGCCTTAAAGATGCCCCTTTCTAGGAAACTTCTCTGTGGGGTCTTTCTGGCCTGTCCCACAGGGTTGCTGTGACTCGGCATCTGCTGTGGGCACAAAACAGCAATAATGTACTTGGGTCATGTGCAGTGTAATGTTGGCCAGTCCGAGTTACTAAAGACTGCTGCCCTACAGGAAGAGGCCTCAAAGCCTGTGGAAGAATTCTGGTATCTTTGGATTCCATTATTCCACAGACTTTTTGAAGCTCCTTATAGGTAGCGTTTTTCTAGTCTCTTCAGGGTTTTAAGCTTCACTGACCTTTTTTTTCTTTCCTTCTTGCTTTCCCAACTTGCTCCTGCTCGTGCTTTTAAATTTTTACTGTGGCGACATATATATGCAAATCATAATCCAGGACCACCAAGTAGATTCCAACCCATAGGGGCCTTCAGTAGGGTTTTCCAGATTATAGAGCTTTATGGAAAGCCTCATTCTCATGCTGAGTGGCTAGTGGGTTTGAACTCCCGACCTTACAGTTAGCAGCACAAGACTTTCTCCACAGTGGCACTAGGAGCCCTAGTATGACAGCAGTAATGCTCAAGGAGCCCTAGTATGACAGCAGTAATGCTCATAGTCGCGCCTCCATCCTCTCGCGCTTAGGTCCAATCGGACCAGGGAGGGGATTGGAGGAGGTGGAGCTCTTCTGGGCCTGGTTCCCTTGAGAGAATGAAGGGGAAGTGAAGTAACGTCTGCTTGCCCTTTTTTCTCAATAGATTCCTTCTGTATTAATTCTCTTGCTTATCTTTGACACCCTGGCCTGCCTTTTAACACTACCCCAAAGAAACATGGTTTTCCTGGGGCTAGGAAAACTCTCTTCTTCCAGATGGACCGCAGCACTGGCCTTTCTGTTAACAAAGTACCCTACATTGTTTCCCTTTTCTTTTGCAACTGCTTCTTTTTTCTCATTTTCTTTAACCAAGAACTTAGGTGAGATGCATGTTGAAACAAAAATGGTTTTGCACATGAAGCTGTAATTAAACCCATAACGCTGGCGTGCCTCCCTCTGAAAGCAGCCTGTCCTGAAAACACCCAGCTCAGGCTTGTTGTATCTGGTCTACTTGTTAATTATGACATGCGGCTTGAAAGCAGCATCCCCCTCACTACAAGCAGTTTCCCCAATCCTTCAAAGCTAGAGTATGTGTAAAACACAGGCCACTTGTCAGGGAGTGGGCGCCGGGCACTCGGTCGTGGCATTTCAGCATTTCGGCTGTGCTGAGATGCAGAGTGGCTGCGCAGTGTTGCACTGTCCAAGCCCTCATGTTTTATCTTCTCTCCTGCAGCACCTTGTTTGCATTTTCTTGCTGCAAAGGTGCCACTGTAATGATACGTTTTAGGAAATGGTGCATTCAACAGGCTGCTTCCTCTAGAAGTTGACACAAGATCACTTACGAATGTGTGGTGGAGGCGATGGTGGTGGTTGGCCTCTGAGTTGACTGACTGCTAGTGGCCCCTCAGACAGAGTCGCTCTGCCCTGTGGTATAGTGTAGGCTGTCACGCTTACAGGGACAGACAGACCACCAGGCCTTAACCCCCTTGGGTTCACACTGTGACCTTTCTTCTCACTGCCGAGTGCTGAGCCCCCAGGGCCCCATGGTGACTGAGCCGGCCACTGGGCAGCGTAAATGATGTCGTCTCAGCTGGCACAGAAATGGTGTGAGTCAGGTTGGGGCTCAGAGGGCACAGGTCTCCTGTGCGCAGTGTGACAATCCACGTGCGCCCACGGGTGGCTCCCGGCAGGAGTCACCTGGGCGAGTGGGTGAGAAATGCCAGAGGTCTGAGGGTCATTAGGATGCCCGGGACCCTGGGAGTCTGGCTGGCTCCCCACGTGCTGACTGAGAGCTGTACAACCTGTTTGGTTCCTCTTTCCAGTGATGCTACTCACCTACAAAGTAAGTATGGCTTGAGTCCCTCTGATGTCTCCGTAAGCGGAAGTCGTTCCTGGTCCATGACTGTAGCTCCCCCGCTGAAGTCCAGTCTGGGCCAGGATGGTTTAACCCTGTGCGGTCTTCTCCAGGATCCCACCCCCATGGTACCGCTCCTCTACGCTGTTGCCGGGCCATCTCGTGTCGGTAGGAAGACGTTGGCTCCAGGCACTGGGCTTTCTCTGTAGAAATAATGATTGCCCTGTTTTAGCGTACCTTCCGCTCAGCACTTTTCTCCTCTTCTTGCCTTCCAGAAGCGGAAGGCTCGGGGCATGCCGCAAGCATAAGCCATCTTCCCCCCGAGGTGATGCTGGCCATCTTCAGCTACCTCAGTCCCCGAGAGCTGTGCCGTTGCAGCCAGGTCAGCACCAAGTGGGCCCAGCTGGCTAAGACGGGCTCGCTGTGGAGACATCTCTACCCTGTCCACTGGGCCAGAGGTGGGTACGGGCGCTGGGAGCGGGTTTCCCAAAAGACAGCCCTCGGCACATGCTGTTGAGCATTCACGGGTTTTGACAGGTTGGGTCAGAGGAGGAAGGTAGATTTCATAGTATGTTCTTGGGGTGCGTTTTTGAAAAAGTGAGGTATTTGTGGGTGAGTCCCACGATTTGTGGGTGAGTCCCACGATTTGTGGGTGAGTCCCACGATGTCTTGATCTCATTTGGAATAATGAGGGAAAAACTGTTTGGAGGTGGGAATGCAAAGGGAACTGGCCCAGTCATGGTATTTGCTGAGGACCTGCATGGGGTATGGGGCATGGGTGCTCCTCTGTCGAAGCTCCTGCTTCTGAATGTGTTTGGGATTTCCCACAGATAGGAATGAAAAATCCAGCCCAGGGCTGTAGGGGCAACCTTAAATGACGAGCTCATTGAGTACTGAAAGGACACAGTGCATCGTGTTGATAACATTTGGAAGCTTAGCACTGCTGTGCCCTGTTTGGCCATGGTTAACGATCAGTGTGAATCCAGCTCTTGGCTGTGCTGTTGGGGACGCCTTACTGAGTCTTGGGGGCGGGGAGCACATCTTTCTGCTTGTGGACACTTCAGACTTTGCTTTTCCTGAGGATGCTGTGCGTGCGAGTGGCTGTGGGCTCCGTGCAGCGTTACAGCAAACATCAGCAGTGTTTGTAGGTGACTAGGAGCCCCTGTGGCAAAGTGTTAGGAGTTGGGCTATAATCTGCAGGGTCGGCATTTCGAAACACCACCCGTTCCTCGGGAGAAAGATAGGGAAAGACTTAGACCGTTTCAGAAACCCACAGGGGTAGGCAGTTCTCCCCGACCTGTTCAGGTGTTAGGAGCTGGCACCAACTTGATGGCAGTGAGGTTTTTGTTTTTGATCAACCTCCAGAGTGGATCGGACCTTTTTGATCGTTTTCTAAGTGTGATTTTGACATGGAATTAGATATCTCGTATGATTATGTAGAGGTAGCTATGGATGTTGGTTAGACACTATTTTTTTTCACTATAATTGACAGCATTTTCAAACTAAGCTTCAGTTAAAATATTTTATGCTTTTTGGACTGAAGCTCTTGGAGTGGGTGTGTACACTTATAGATCAGATCTAAATGATTCCAATTGTTATTTCTGTGAGAGGACATCCAGATTCTTAGGGTAGGATAAAAAAATATTAAATGAAAAGTCAAATAAGGGAAATTGGAAATACCAGCTATTTCTCACTCAACTGTATGTTTTTCATTAAGAACCAGTACGTAATTAGATGCTATTTCATGTAAAACCAGTTTGGTAATGCTGGGCTAGACTTTTGTAACATTAACCAAGTCTTACCCATGCCCTTGAATCTTGAACGGATTAGTGGTGCTTAATTAATCTTCTCATGCGGAGCAGCTGGTAGTTTCAAACTGCTGATCTTAAAATTAGCCCAGTGCAGAACCAATGCACGCATCATCAGCGCTTATAATGGTTCTTCCTAATTTCTGTGAATGATGTTACTTGTTTTCAGTAGTTCTCAGCCAGGATCAATTTTTACTTCCCAGGGGACATTTGGAACTATCTGAGAGTGCTTGTTGGTTGTCACATCTCGGGGAGGGGCGAGGTGTTGCGTGTGGGTTGTTCCTGCTGTCTAGTGAGAAGAGGCTGAGGTGGCAGCTGAACACGCTGCAGGACAGCCAGACCACAGAGGTGTCTGAGTCACAGTGGAGACACTGACTGTAGGTGGCCTGTAGGCGTTCGCGTTGTTTGGACTCTGTGATGATGTCATTGAATTGTTCATTTGCCAAGACCTTTCTGTATCTGATTTACTTTACTTAATCTTTCCCTTTAATGTGTGTGGTGTCCCCCGTCCCCCCACACCCGCCGAGCCTCCCCAACTGCTGAACTGGTTGCTTTGTCACAGCAGCGCAGCGAGGACAGCCCTGCTGCCTTTGTTTACTAGCTGTTGCTGTAGCGGGTGGGGGGTGCCGGGGGGCGGTGTGGAGCCTCCATAGCAGAAATGCAGTCAGGGCATTTCCGGTTCTTTGGCTTCTGAGGCTACTGATAGGATTCTTTTTCTGAGCAATGGGGTTATATTTCTGAGAAATGTGTGTATCTAATCTGTAAAAGGTAAATTAAAAAAAAAACCTTTTGAATAAAGGGTAACTGCATAGGTGCATAACAGACTGTAATATTTGTACCTTTTTTGGGCATAATTTTAAGGAGGGCTATTTACTTTGTATAAAATGAGCTGTTGCTAAATTAATTAGTATCTTACTTTGAACCCACATAGTCTTTGTTCTTTCCAGTGTGTGTGAAATTGAGCCCTATGGTGTTAAAGTGTGATTTTTTTTCGTAACCACCATTGAGTATTTCTAGAAAGAGCTGGCCCGTTGCCAGGGCTTAAGTATTTTCCTTTTATTGGGTTTTTGCAAAGGCCAGCTTTGGTCGTGGTGGCCAATCTCATTTTGTCCTCCTCGTCTGTGCTTGCTGCGCAGGGGACTGGTACAGCGGTCCGGCCACGGAGCTGGACACGGAGCCAGATGAGGAGTGGGTGCGGAGCAGGCAGGATGAAAGCCGTGCATTCCAGGAGTGGGATGAAGACGCCGATGTGGATGAGTCTGGTGAGCCAGGCCTGGGGCTAAAGGGGCTCCCCAGTGTTTCCACAAGTGACCGCTCATAATTATCCATTGTTCAGACTGCTTATGTATTTTAAGTTTTCTAAAGAAGCTGGTGTTTTCAAGCCTACTGCTTTTCTAAGTTTAAAGGAATCATATGTAGATTGGAAGTTAAGCATGCATAGGGTTTCCCATTGGCTTGTACATTAAAATACTTTTTAAAATCAGAAATTGGCACCTTTTCATTATACAAATGTAGTGCCTTCCCGTTGAGCACCGCTGTGGTGTCTGACCTTTGACCGCCATTGAGTCAGGTGTCTTACCACTCACTACCATTATGGTGTTTAGCGGTTGCATTGCCACTGATCAGCTGAAGAATTTTTACTTTGCAGAGTTTAGTTCTTTTTCAGCTTTTCTTTCCTTTTTTAAAAATAGTTTTATTGGCATGTTTCACTTATCACACAATTCAGTAGTTCAGTCACATTAATGAGTTGTGCAGTCATCACCACGGTCCATTTCAGAACATGTTCTTTTGCTTCTTGTTCGCTCCCACTTCCCATGCCACGCACCCAGGCAATCGTTAATCTAGTTCCTGCCTCTAGAGATTGACCTACCCTGGATTTTGTATACAGGAAATCATACAAACAAAACAAGCCCGAAAACAATGACAAAACAGAGAAAAGCCTCAATTGAAAAGAAAGAAAATATGAAAAACTGAAACTACTTTAAAGTGGGTCAAAAAGGATATCAGATAATAAGGAGTTATATTTTAACGTAACTCCATGTGCCATAATAGACTTTACGTTGCTCTCTGTGTGGTAGCACAGTGATTCACGTTTCTGGTCTGGGACCGGTGGGAATTTTCCAAAGACTTAGTCCAATGGGGGCGGGGAGGGGGGAGGGACCTGCAAATGGAATTTGGGCTTCCACTGTCATCCATAATCATTTGCAAATCAGGTGTTCAGCATGAAAGTTCTGGTACTGTTCCCTCCTTCGGATTTGGATTTTATTATTTACAATCCTTGGATTATCACAGGATGGTGTGCTTCTTCCATGTGGACTTAGTCGACAGCCTCATATAGAGGGATGCTCGTTTTAAGACCCCGGCTGCTGTTCTTTCTGATTGCTGGGCACCATCTGATTTCTTTACTACACCCTGCCATAGCGCCCATATCTTCAGTGATCTCTTCCATACTAGCCTTTTTAAAAGTTAGGTGGGTTCTTTTAAAAATCTTCATATCAGTTCAGCATCATTCAGGTGTGCCCCCCAGGAAGAAGCCCGAAACCATGGAAGAGATGTTCCTTCATTTGGAAACTGGCCTAGTCTTTGCCTCATTAGGAGGTTTCTGGTTTTGTTTTAAGAGTTAAATGATGTATATGAAAATTCTTTACAAGAGAAAGGGATTTTAAAACTGAGTGAAGCACTGTGGGAGAATTCAGGGCGAGCAAGACTATACTCCTGCCCGTGGGGAACCACAGGGTCAAGCAACAAAGCATTTGGAATACGTGCTTTTTTTCTGGGTGATTTGATACTGTTGGGTTGGTTCCCACTTAGCGTGCTCTTCTGTCCAGCAGAAGCAGCACTGCCCTGCACCCTGTCCTCACGCTCATGCTGTTTGAGCCCCGTTGCTATAGCCACAGTCAGCCCAGCTCCTTGAGAGTCTTCCTCTTTTTCACCGACCTTTTACTTGGCGTCGTGTCCTCACTGAGAGTCTGGTCGCCCCGATGATGTGTGCAGAGTGCATGAGACGAGTTCTCGTTTCTAAGGAGCATCCTGGCTGTACTTTTTCTAAGACAGATTTGTTCCTTCTTCTGTCAGCTAATCGTGTGAATCGTGTAAAGAATCCCGAATAGTGTTCTTCGCCAACATCCTGTTTCAAATACATCACTTCTTCTGTGGTCTTCCTTATTCGTTGGACAGCTTTCACACGCATGTGAGGCTGTGAGAAATGCAGGGTTAGAGGAGCTGCAGGGAACTTGGGTGTATGAAGGAGGAAGACATGCACACATTCTGTTCAAGAGAGTATTGTAGAGCAGAATTCCTAGAAGATGATGAACTAGTGACAACTTTGCAGATGAAACGGTGCTCTCTGGTAAACCCAGCTAGAGGGATTTTATCGGTCAAGCTGCCCACTTAGAGGGCAAACGGACTAACAATTTGGAAAGTAAGGACTGTGAGTACAAAGGTAATTATTTCAGCAGGTGGCAGAGTTCATTTTTCTGAAATGGAGATGTCCTCTCTTGGCACCGTGTGACAAGTTTGGAAGTGATGATGATAACATCAGGAGCAAGTCCGTTCTGGCTGGCTGCGTTGATGGGTTTGATCACCCTCATTGTGTACCTTTCGGACATTTAGCTTGTGTCAGCTCCTGGCCCCAACCTGAAGGCTGTAATAGCAAATAAAGAAGTCAGAAATCCCTACTCTGTCCTCTGGGTCACCATGAGTCGAGAGTTGGCATTGATGGGCAGGGTTTGGCTTTTGATCTTGCTGCGAAATTATGTTTATCATTTTATCACAGTTGGGCTTGATGTGCTAAAGGCCAGCTGAGGAATTTTGCTTCTCGACTCATGAGAAACCTTAGTTCCTTTTCTGCATCTTTGTCTGGTGTTGGTCTCAGAGTAATAGTGGTGGTCTCAAAGAATGGTATGGGGTGTCTCCCCTTTCATTTTCTGGATGTGTCCAGAAGACTTCTTGTGCAAAGAAATCTTAAGAGTGTTAAAAATTGTTGGCAACTACTTTCAATGATTTTAAAACCCACTGTGGGCCCGACCAAAAAGGGGAGAAAAAAGCTTGGAGAGGGAAAGCAAATGGTAGGCACAAGTAAAGGATATTCTGTATTTGATGGTGGCATGAACTGGGTGGGGGGTGGGAGCGCGGTGCTGCAGCTGAGAAAGGGCCCTGAGAGAGGGAGTGGGTGGAAGTCTTAAGTGGAGGCACCCAAAAAGCTCTCCCTTCTACATGTGAGATTTCAGCAGAGTCCTGAAGGCGGGTGCTCTTTGCTCACCTTAGAGGAGGTCTGATTTTTCTCTTTTAGGGAAGGGATTCGTGATACCCAGGTTGAGAGTTGGCACAACGGGCAGGAAGAGATCGGGGAACTTTTCGGTGCCCCTCCCAGGATTTGGCCCGACACTTGAAGATAGGCTGTTGTTTCTCTCCGTGCGGAAAGGGGAAGCTGGACGGTGGTGAATGAGCCTTTCTACCGTGTTGGTGCAGTTGCTCATGGTGTCAGACTCAATGTTGGGTCTGCAGGGCAGACTCCAAGGGCCTTTTTCAGTTCAGCCACGTTTCTTAATCGTGTGGACCAGCCAGTGTTTTACATTCCTCGCTGCCATCGAGTCCATGCCAACTCATCAAGCTCATTGCCATCGGTCGAGATGATTCCAGCTCATAGCGACCCTGTAGGACAGGGTAGAACTGTCCTGTGGCCCCGTTTGTCTGTCTTTGCCAGTGGTTCTGAGGCTCTCGTCTCACCTCATCTTGCTTCATGGAGCAGCTGTCCTGGTGCAGTGCTTAACTTTACACTAAACCGCGCACTTTAAATAGGCCACAGAAACAGTTTGACTCTTCAGCAACCCCAGAGGGTTTTCCCAGGGCTGGGACAGTCTTCAGGGTTAAGGAACCCTGGGGACCTAGTGTTTACACATTGGACTGTGATCCACAGTGTCAGCAGTTCAAAACCAGCAGCCACTCCACTTGTGAAAGACGGGGCTGTTCAACTTGTGTAAAGAGTGACAGTCCCAGAAACTCACGAGGTCATTTCTGCCTGTCCCATAGGGTTGCTCTGAGGCAGCACTGACTCGATGGCAGTCAGGTTTGGTTTTAGTGATGGTCTTCAGATAAAGTTGCCTGCCCTGCTTCCCAGGCTGCTCTGGGTGGGTTCGAACTGCCAACCTCGAGGAGTCAAGAACTTAAGGAGTCAAGAATTAGGAGTCTAGAACTTAAGAATTTTGTTCTGCCTAAGACTTCTCGGAGATTTAAACGGGCTCCCTGGCATTTTTATTTCTCTAGGTTATTCATAGTGTATTTGTCTGAGGGAATGAGCAACTAAGGCAGTCTCTGTAAACATGGAACTTGTAGTGACAGACTTTGTCTTGAGTCCCTGACTTACATTCCTATGTCATTTACACTCCGTCTTGTTTTAAAGGAGGTGTCCTTAGTTCCTTCTGTTAAGTAATTCAACCAATTTCCTATGTAGAGCCAGTTAAAGTCGGGCTTCTGCTAAGTGGAATAGCAATGGGACCCCAAGAAAGACCACGGCAGGCGTTAGTATGATAGCTGAGTCTTTGTAGGGTCTTCAGTGTGGTGCTTGGGTTTTTGTTCTTAGTGGTGGTTACGGTAACAAATTGAGAGGTGAACGTCCAAACTTTGTAGAAGTGTAACGTGAAAATTAAAGCCAGGCTCATTGCCGGATTCTTAAAAACTCTTTGCTTGATTCACTAGGCGTAAGACCCTATTTAGTTCAATTTCAGATCCTTTCTAGCTCTGTGTCCCTTTGAGTCAGGTAAAGTAACTATTGGGATTTATTTTGCTATGGCTCCTCTTTCTTCTGATGTCATATGTTCTCCCGAGGAAATTCTGCCTGTTATTTCAGTATTCAAAGTTTATTTATTCTTTAACCAGAGCGACGTGTGCTGCCTGGATGTGGACTCCTTTCACTTTATGTCCCTCCCTCCACTTACTTTGATGTGGAAATCACCTTCAGCACTGACACACAGGAAAACAGCATGATCAAAACCCATCCCATCCCCTCCTGTTCATTTGCAAGCCTGCCTTTTGGTGTTTCTGATTTCATTTTGCAGAGGAGTCTGCAGAGGAATCGACTGCCATCAGCATCGCACAAATGGAAAAACGCTTGCTCCACGGCTTAATCCATAATGTTCTACCACATGTCGGCTCTTCCGTAAGGACCCTTGTATTAGCATACAGCTCGGCAGTGTCCAGCAAAATGGTATGTACAAACCAGCACCCGCCTGGCCATTCAGATACAGTCACCGCATTGTTGCTTGGGTCTGGAAGAAGATTCTATAGCAAATATTTATTGCACGCACTCCTGTGGGGAGGCACTTATTGCTAACTCTCGGTGCTCCGAGTTTCGGTCCTCACGGCCTTCTTGGCATTGTGGAGCCCCTGTCCCTGTTTAGAGATACCCACAGGGAGACTAGGCAGGGTCTAGCACTTTACCCCGTGTGACAGGTGTTCGGTGAGGAAGTGAAGTACAGCTTGCGGAATGCCTGGTGAGAGACGATTGCGTATAAGAGTAATGTGTGTGCGTAGGCGCCTCCCTGTCCTGGAGTCTCTCTGGCAATCCCTTAGACATGTAAACGTCCAGATCCCACCTCACAAAGACTGAGTCTGATTCCCAGGTGTGTGCACCCAGAGTACAGGTTTTTCCAAAACGGGTTTACCTGTACCGAGGTTTGAGGTGTGCGGGATGGTCCCATGCCCTAACAGGCACCATTTCCCCCTGACCAGTGCTGCAGGTCCTCACAGTGGCTCTCTCTCTTCTAGGTCAGACAGATCTTAGAGCTTTGCCCCAACCTGGAGCACCTGGATCTCACCCAGACTGGCATCTCAGATTCTGCCTTTGACAGGTTCGTGACCCCCGTCACCGGCGGGTTGCCATGCAGTTCCTTTTTCAACCAATGGCACGTGAAGCTCCCTGCTCTGTTGTACTTACCCACTGCCATCGAGTCGATTCCAAGTGAGAGCAACCCTCCTTTGGGGTTGCAAAGCTGTCGATCTCCATAGGCGCCAAGCGTCTCCCTTCCAGTGCCTGGTGGGCTTGAACTGCTGACCTTGCAGTTATCCAGAAGCCCCACAGTTGTTTTTGCCTCTTGTCCTTTGGCACCAGCTGATCTAAAATTCCCCTCTTGTGCCCCCCTGGTGTCTTTGGGCCAGATCTAGTCCGTTAAGGCTTGCCGAGCAGCCTTGCAAACTGGCCCTGAGCATGTATGAGACTTCCGGGGCCAGCAGGTCTCTGAGAGCTGCTTGGCCAAGCTCCTTCCGATTTCCTCACAGACACTCTGAAAATGCGCCGCATTCTTCAAGCTACACTCTCCTCAGAGTATTTCTTTGAAGCTCTCGGTGTCCTCTTGGCCAACCCAGCCCCTCTTCTGCTCCGTCAGCATCTGCACCGGCACCTTCTCCCTGGCTCTCCCTGGCAGAGCGGCATGCTATCCTCTGCTCATTCCTCCCCAAAGCTGTCTCTTATCCTCCTCCATGGTGCACGCGTCTCTCCTGGTGACTTCTCTGGGTAATACACTTAGAACAATAACTCTCTCTCCCTTTTTAGCCTTCTCTCGTCTCCTCTTCCCCTCTGCTGAGCTAGCAATACTTTTTGTTTCTTATTACTCTCTTCTGGCACACGACCACAGTCACCCGGGAAATATTGGAGTGATTCCCTTAGATGTAAACATTTTCCTTGTGTTCTGACTACACAGAGCCTTTGAAGACTCCCCACGGTCATTGACTTCCTTGTCACCTCTCTCTTGCAGCTGGTCTTGGCTGGGCTGCTGCCAAAGCCTGCGGCACCTGGATCTGTCTGGCTGTGAGAAGATCACAGATGTGGCTTTGGAGAAGATCTCGCGAGCACTTGGGATTCTGACATCTCATCAGAGTGGCCTTTTGAGAACATCTGAAAACAAGACGACTTCGTCTACGTGGAAGAACAGAGATATTGCCTCACAGTCCAGTGAGCCGTACACCATTACTAACAAAGGCTTCAAAGAAGAAATCGATAACGAGCAGCCTTGGAAGGAGCCGGTGTCTTCTGACCGTTTAAGTTCGCCTTACGTGTGGATGCTAGACGCCGAAGACTTGGCTGATATTGAAGATGCGGTGGAATGGAGGCACAGAAACATCGAGAGCCTTTGTGTCATGGAGACGGCCCCTAACTTTAGCTGCCCCACCTCCGGGTGTTACAGTAAGGACATCGTCGGACTCAGGACTAGTGTCTGCTGGCAGCAGCATTGCGCTTCGCCCACCTTTGCCTACTGTGGCCATTCCTTCTGCTGTGCAGGCACCGCTCTAAGAACTATGCCCCGACTCCCAGAGCCCTCTGCGCTCTGTAGGAAAGCCTCCAGGACTAGACTGCCCACAGCACAAGACTTCATTTACTCTGGGAGTGCAAAGCCAGAGCCAGAGACTGCTCGTGCCCTTCTGTTTCTCAGTCTGTCTGGATGTTACCAGATTACAGACCATGGTCTCAGGTAAGCAGTCACTGGCAGAGGGTGAGCAGATGGCTTTGCTCTTGTCTTCAGGCGGCAAGTTACTGTTTTATTCCTGAGAGCTGTTCCTTGTGGTTGATATGTGTCACCAGACAGGGGTCCGTATAACATCGTAACACGAGGAGCTTCCCTTTCAGCCCTTCTGATCCTGTGGGACCGTGAAAGCGCATACATTCAGATGTTCGGTGAATACTCCGCAGAAGCCTGCCCCACGCTTTCTGATCTGTTCTAGTGGGCGGGACGATGGAGAAGACTTATCTACCAATCTGAGCAGAAAGTACACTGCATATTATGTGCATAACAATCTCACATTAAGTATCACTTTTTATCATGGTAGAAAGGGGGAAGTTTTATGGTGGGCGAATTCTCTGTTCTAACCTGTCTGACATGAGTCGCGTGGTGTCTCTGATAGACTCTGGCATCTAACAGCAGTAACTCCCCAGCCTATCACAGAACAGAAGAGGAAGCCCGCCATTGATTCTCCATGGCTCTCAGAGGTCATAATGACTGCATATTGTTAATGTTGAAAACAAACAAGTACAAACATACCAACCACTGCCACTTGATAAAAGCTACCAAGGTTTTACTGTCATTTTGGCAGGCTTTTCATTTTATTTTGACCTAGATGTCTATATGTATTCAGATTAAGCAAGTCTTGCAAGTAAGACATGGTTGAATATTTATACAAAGCCAGTTACGTGAGAGAAGAACCAGTCTTGAGCCGCACCAGGTCGGCCTGGCCCAGTGTCAGCTTTACAGTTTGCCACTCTACTGTCATTTTGGACTCTCACTGTGACCTTACATAGAAGAGGGGGTAGCAGATCCATACGTCACAGTTACAGGTGGCACTACAGAAGCAGGGGCGAGACTGCCATTGGGATACACACACTGTTAGATACAAGGGCCTACAAGATTGGCCCCTGGCCTTCTGACCAAGGCAGTCAGGGCAAAATGATAGGACCTGACCCATGACTATGAGACGCCGTGTACCATTTCCAGGAGCCCTGGTTGTGTAGTGGTTATGCATTGGGCTGAGATCCCCATGGTCAGCAGTTCAGCACCACCAGCAGCACCAAGGGAAAGAGCCTGGATTATTGTACTCCCTTAAACAGTTACAGCCTCAGAAACCCACCCCCAGGGTGTCCCTATGAATCAGCATTGACTTGATGGCAGTGAATTTGGTTTTTGCTTTAGTACAATGACCTCCACCTAGGACACGCCTAGGCAAATCCACAGGAGAGACTGTCCTTCCCTGGACTGCCTAGAGAGGGATCGAGGCATTCATTCTCCCTGAGGGCAAGATACCTGCGTCCTTGATCAGAAACCGTTCACTATAGACTGAGCCTAACTGGGGACTCCGCAGGTGGACTTTGCGCTGTCACTGCCCTCCAGATCCTTCTGCAAACCGGGGTGGGCAGGATTCAAGCTCTAATACAGTCTAGAGTTGCTGTGAATCTGACCACAGGTCAATTTTACTGTCTCCGTTTTTTAAATAACCCTGAGCTTTTTCAAATTCTGCACAATTAATGAAATCCTCCAGGCCTCACGTTACCAGTGAGTTGGTTCGGATCCTTTGCACGTAGCCCCATACGACAGAGCAGAACAGCCCATAAGGTTTCCAAGCGGACTTCCTCATCTTCCTCTGCCCCAGCAGATTGCGGGTTTGAACTGATGACCTTCCGGTTAGCAGCTAGCACCTGAGCACTTTGAGGGCAGTCACAGTTTTGATGCACATAATGTCTTCCATTTGCATTACGTGAAAAAGCTTGCTGGCAGTCCTCCTTTGCACAGTTCTGAAAGCACTGTGGGGGTGTTGCTTTTTCTGTAAGCAGAATTTAGAAGCCTTCGTTTGAATACCAAAGAGTACCACCCCCCACCCTCGAGGCAGAGAGTTAACTTTCCATGGAATCTGCAGGAAAGCGTGAAAGTGACTTTTAGTTCATTGAGCAGCCCTCCAGGTATGATTTATAACACTTAATGAACAGTTCTCAATGCTGTTAACCCTTTAAGAAATATCTAGGAGTAGAGATATTCTCAAAGTTCAGGTGGAATAGACTCAAGGCCTTATTTTGGCTCTTGTGGAGTTTTTTGTTTTGTTTTTTAAAAAATTTTATTCGGCTTTATCCTAATATTAAATATGGGCATTTGATGGTCCGTTCCACAGCAGTTAAAACCAGCCCACTGGCTGCCTGTGGAGCAGATCATCAGATGCCAAGACCCAGAGTAGACCAGAAAGGAAGAGCCTGCTCAACATATCTTAAAATGAAAGAACTCAAGAAAAAAATTCAAACCTTGAGTTGCAATCTTGAAGGATTCTGTGGGCAAAATATTGGGTGATGCAGGAAGCATCACGAGAAGATAGAAACAATAGTCGTCGACACTCCACCACTCCAGGAGGCAGCATATGAACAAGAACCAACAGTGCTGAAGGAAAATAGATACTCAGAGTGCACAACAAGGATCCAGGAATTGATGGAATACCCACTGAAATGCTTCAGCAAGCAGATGAAGTACTGGAAGCACACCCTCCTGTGCCAGGAACTTTGGAAGACAGCTGCTTGGTGAACTGACTGGAAGAGATCCGTATTTGTACCCATTCCGAAACAGGTACCCAACAGAATGGTCACATTATATAGAATAGCGTCATTAATTTTGCTCAAGATTGTCCAACGGCCACAGCAGCCAGGGACCTGCCAGAAGGTCCGGTCAGATTCAGAAGAGGATGTGAAACGAGGGATATCGCTTTACTGGTGCAAATGGATCTTAGCGGAAAGCAGAGAATACCAGAAAAGTTTGATCAGTGTTTTATTATCAGGCCAAAGCATCCAACTGTGTGGGCCATAATAAACTGTGGGTAACCCTGAGAAGAGGGGGGATTCCAGAACACTCATTGTGCTCATGAGGAACTTGCACCTACATCAAGAGACAGTTGTTCACCCCCTTTTTTTTTTTTTGCATTTTATTTGGCTATTAATCTCAAGCAGCTGTCTTAATTCTGAGCAATGCCTCTTCCATACAGAAAGAAATATGATCACTCAGGCCATTGGTTCTCAACCTGTCGGGCTGCGACCCCTTTGGTGGGTTGAACGACCCTTTTACAGGGGTCACCCGATTCATAACAGTAGCAAAATTACAGTTATGAAGTAGCAACAAAAATAATTTTATGGTTGGGCGGGTCACCACAACATGAGGAACTATATGAAAGGGTCGCGGCAGGAGGAAGGTTGAGAACCACTGACTTAAGCCCAGCCACCCAGCCCTACTACCCCCTCCCTCAAAAAAAAACAAACTTCAGAATCTTGTTCCCCTGCTGAGCCCAAGACCTTACCTGCTAGGATGGTAACCCCATCAGCATGAAGAAGGGTAGATGGAGAGACAAGAAGTCGACTTGAGTCTGGCCGGTCAAGAACCTTCATTATGCACGGTCTTCCCTCTGTGCGGTCACCGGGCCGTTGGCAGGGGTCTCGTTGCTACTTCACAAGGCAGTGTGTTTTGTTCTTTTAGAAATTACATCCCTAGTTTTGTCCTCATGAGACAAGATTCCATGTGTGCTTAGTGCAATTGATATTTGCTATTGCTTCTGGTGACCTGCTATCTCCAGGCTCTTGTGAGGTCTGCCCAGAGGTAGTCACAGAATTTGTCAGCAGTGTGGTTTGAGGTATTCCTCATCAGCTTTGCTTTTTTTGTTTGATTCCCAAAGTTTAACATTGAGAATTTTTTGGAATTTCCCCCACAAATTTTGCACCCCATCTAGAAACCTGTCTTTCCCTTTATTAGAGTGTTATATTCCTGAGTAAACGTTTCTTTCTTCATGTAAGTTTTATGTACAGCTGTGTTATTGGTATCTTCCCCCCTCCCCCCATGGTTTCATATAACAAGATACATAGAAAAACATCATTTTCATTTATGATGAAATAGATGCTATGTACTACCTGGTTCAGGGTTCAACACTGCATGATGGATTCCGTCGTCAAATGAAAGATACGCTTTTCTTAATGCACAGAAGTCCCTCAATGGGCTTCATGAAATAAATGATAAAGAAGAACGGCTCACCATAATAATCCCCCTGAGAGAGGGAGCTCCTGTCTGACAGATAATGACAGGAAAGGCAGCAAACCAAAGTGTTATGGTAAAGATGCCAGGCGGGATCACCACACCTGTCTTCGCAGAGGAAAACAGGGCCCATCGAAATCTATGGTTACATTAGATCCTTGGTTCTCAACCTTCCTAATGCTGCCACCCTTTAATATTGCTCCTCGTGTTCTTTCCCCCCAACCATAAAATTATTTTCGTTGCTACTTTATAACTGTAATTTTGCTACTGTTACGAATTGGCGACCCTTGTGAAAGGGGGGTTGCAACCCACAGGTTGAGAACCCGCTGCTTAAATGGACATAGGTGGCACTTAGCCATGCCTCACCACTTAAAGCATCACTTGACATGTTATCAGAAGTCAGCTGTGTTATTGTTAGAGACTTTCTATCTCTTATATTTTTCTGGTTGCTCATCCTTTTTGCATCGCAAGGGTATTTTTTTTATAAGGAAGAGATTGATATACAATAGCAATTGAATATTGAGAAAACATCCCAGCCCAGTGCAGTCCAGTCGATATTAGTCTATATGTCCAATACCAATCTATAAAGTCTCTCTTCAGACTCACGAAACACATGCAATGATGCTGAATGCAGGATCATCACAGACCAGTGGGTAGAAAGTCTTTGGATCCAGTGTCATTTGAAACATCTCAGCACTGGCAGGGGTCTCTGCATCAGGGTGGGTCCATGTGTCTTGTCAGCTGCTATGTCTCCCAGGGAGTGTCAGAGAAAAAAAGTATCTCCTGCTTCTAAGGAGGAAGTACCGGATTTCCCAGAATTCTCAGGAGAAGGCCATGCCCACATAGAAGCCTCATTGGCTATGACCCAGTTTCCCAGAATTCTCAGGAGAAGGCCATGCCCTCATAGAAGCCTCTTTGGCTATGACCCAATTGATAGAGTAGACTCCACCCCATCACTCTTAGCCTCAAATTGACAATTGTATAACTACCACAGACCACCCCTTGTCAATTTGACACTTTCACATAACACTGTAACCATATGTAATTTTCAAACAAACAGTAATGAAATAATATCTGTACCTAACAGGATAAAACTAAACTGCATACAATTCAACATGTGCCACCCTCATTTAAACAACATTTTATAAATGAACAGAACAAAAATATCCTATGCCTAACAATTGCAGTTAAGTAACACCTACAACTTAATCCTATAATCCTATAAATATGTTTCCCCACCTATGAAAGTTTGTAAGCCAACCACTTCATACCTTTATCCCCCCAATTTTGGGTATCCAATTTCTTTACTGCCTTTTTGCATCAACTCTGTGCTCTGAGGA